GGTCTCGAACCTGCGGGCTCAGGCAATCCACTCACCTCAGCCTCCCAAAGGCACGGGATTACAGGCTGAGCCACCGAGCCCGGCTACACCAGCATCTTAAATGTGAGTGTGATTTAGGGCTGAAGGCAGATGACTCTGTCATTGGATAGAGACCAGTGAGAACAGAAGGAGTCACTGGCAGTATAGGTCCAAACAGCTATACCATGGGAATCACCCACTAGGGAAGAAAGGAAAGATGTACATTAGGAGACAGAGAACTTGTAGGGGAGGGCATTTCAAGGAAGAGGCAGGCTGGGCATAGTGGCTCACACTTATAATCCCAGCACTTAGGGAGGCCGAGGCGGGAGGATTGCTTGAGCCCAGAAGTTTGAAACCAGCCTGGGCAATATATTGAGACCTCATCTCTACAAAAAAAGTAACTATGAAAATAAGGGGGTGGGGAATGAGACCAGCCTGGGCAACATGTCGAGAGTGAGACTCCAACTCAAAAAAAGCTGGAACTACAGGCGCATCCCTGTAGTTCCAACTACTTGGAAGACAGGAGGAAGGATCACCTGAGCCCAGCAGATCAAGACTGCAGTGGCCATGAGCATGCCACTGCACTCTAGCCTGGGCAACAGGGTGAGACTCTGACTAAAAAAAGGTGGGGGGGAGTGAGGCAGGTGGGCAGTTGGTGAAAAGAGTCCAGGAGGACAGAGGCTTTAGTCTGCCCCAGTCTTCCTTCTCAGCACCTACTCTTCCACACCATTCCAGATCTTGAAGATACTCACAGGGAAGATAGTGGTGGGTCATGCCATCCACAACGACTTCAAAGCCCTTCAGTACTTCCACCCCAAGTCCCTCACCCGTGACACCTCCCACATCCCCATCCTCAACCGGAAGGCTGACTGCCCGGAGAATGCCACCGTGTCTCTGAAGCGTCTCACCAAGAAGCTGCTAAACCGGGACATCCAGGTAGCCCCAACCCCATACGCCAGGCCTTCCTGTCTTGAGTTTGCTGGAGGCTCTTGTTGCCCCTCTCCAGGCTGTGACCCGAAGTCCTCTTGTTAGGGAGACCCAGGTGGGCTGCTCTGGTGGGAGGAGCTTTGGGTTAGGAGGCCCAGTATATAGGGATCATCTCCATCTATATATAGGGATCATAACTCCTGTTCTCTACCTCACAGAATATTCCAAAAGTCACTTTGGAGAAGGCAAAAAGTCCTCAGTAGATATCAGAACCCTAACTAAGAAAGGAAGAAAGCAGGTAGTGGTGGTATCTAAAAGACCATAGATGGGTGTCAGCACCGCTTACGTATGTCACATGCTTGACCTTCCAGAAAGAGGTGGACATACGTAGAGCAGTTAAGGAATAGGGGAAAGTAAAAGACTCAGGTGGCCTATCTTTGATCTGGGATGTTCTATGTCCACAGAACTTTAATATGGCTTACACATGTTGCCACAAAGTATTGAGGTGGACAGTAGCAAGACTTCCTGGAGTTAAACCTCTGAAATGAGATAAGGCATGGGTCCCACTAGAGCTGTGTTTTCACCGGCTGCAGAAGAAACTGTGTGGTGACAGGTGGGAGGGAGGCAACAGTCTCTTCTCTCTTGTAGCTTCATGCTCTCTCTTCCTTGCTTGTTTAGGTTGGGAAAAGTGGACATTCCTCTGTGGAAGATGCCCAGGCCACCATGGAGCTGTACAAGGTGGTTGAAGTTGAGTGGGAAGAGCACCTTATCCAGAATCCCCCGCAAGACTAGCAACAGTGAGGATGCAGGTGCTGTGGGGAAGCAGAGGCAGTCCCAGGAGAACCAGGGCAGTGGACCAATGGACAGGTGTTCCAGCTCCACGTCTCGGGAAGCTGGTATTGGTGTGGGGAGAGAGGCTCTACCCCAGACTTAATATTAGTTGAAATTTCACCTCAGGTGTTGTGTCCTGTGTCTGGTTAAGTGTCCTGTGGAGGGGAGACGCTTCCATGTCAGTACCCAGCCCTGTGCCAATTACCTCTCAAATGGTGCTAACCACAGGTCCCAGGGTGCTTTGCACCAGTCAAGCTTTTTAGCTTTCAAGGGGCAGGGCATACTGGGAATGTTTCCCAAACTGTCTTATCACTAGGGTGGCCATATGTCTCGTTTTATGCCTTTTGTTCTTAAGTAATTAACACACCCTGTTTCACTCTCAGGAGTGTCCTGGGTGGACAATAAATTTTATGGTCCCAATACATATCACAGACTGCTTTTGGACTCAGAGTCTGCAAGTTGCCTGTGCCTGTACATGGCCTATTCTTCCCACCTTGACTTCCAGAGGACAAGCGAGAATTAGCTCTCTTAAGAATCCAGGCAGCAGAGGCAAGACAAGTCTCAAACCCGCGGGCTTAGGCAATCTACTCACCTCAGTCTCCCAAAGCACAGGAATATAGGCTGAGTCACCGAGCCCGGCTAACAGTCTCTTTAAGGTAACAGAGTGTTTATTTAATTTAGGTCCCACTTGGTAGATTAAAAAAGAATTTATGAAGTGTTTTCATGGTTTTTAGTCTTTTACCTTGTTAAACCAAGCCTCTAAAAACTCAAATTATTCCCTTGATACATTTTTATAATAAAAAACTAATTGTCTAGTTGTTTGTTTTTAACTTCATGTTGAATAGCTTTGTCACAGGTGTTGTGGGGTATAGTCCTTAGGGTTTCCAGGGTCCCTGGATGCACTAACTGGGGCCCTTCTTTGCTGGAAGTCATGGAGACATGCTGTTCAAGCCTTTGTGTAACCCATTACCCACATGGCACTGTCCTCATCCCTACTACACAACAACCAGCACACCTGAAATGCCACCCCAAGTCTTTTGAACCCCCTCATACAGAGGGTGTGACCAGGAGAATGAGGTAGACAGTGAATCAGAGAGTGGGCGTGAGGGAAGGATGAAGCGGGGGAAGGGTGCCTGGTGCTGGCAGCCTTGTCACTGCTGCCAACTCTTCCTCAGTGGTGCACACCCTCATCTTGGAAAGGCAAGTCACAAGTCTGGCTTTGTGTTCAAGATTACTGTCTCTCTGTGCTCTTTCTTAAGAGAATGCAGACTCCTTGCCTTCACCAGGACTCATCTTCTTGAGTGGCTGGTCTGATTCCAGGGGTCAGAGTCACAGTCATGGCTGTCTGTAGAAGGGAATGTCCTGTGCTGCCTGTGTGCACAGGCAGCTGGGGGGCTCGGAGCATGGTGACTCCTGTGGAGCCCGGCATATTTGAAGTCTGTGACCGCTCACACAACGAAAAGTGGGCAGAATCAGGAAGGCCACAAGCAGAACTGGGAAGTAGTTTTCATTGTGGCCAGCAAACTGGACAATAACTTGAATATTCCCATTTGAGTTTAGTCTTTGGGGTACTTGTTGACTGGAACAAAACTGGCTTTGTGTCTTGGTCATGTAGCAACTGACTCCTTTGCCCCAACCACCGCCCACCCCCACATCTCGAAAGGCACCTGGTCTCACTCAATCCCGTGTTGGAAAGAGCTCAGTCTTGTATGAGAACCTGGAAGACCAGAAGACCTTAACTCTCCCTCGTCACACTTTCTGGTCAGAGTCCAGCTCACCTTGTGGGGGTGCTGGGGAATCCCCTGGACCTCAGTCTCCTTTTTCTCTCCTTCCGTTCCCAGATTCCTGGCTTCATCCAGTTGATGGTAGATAAACTCTGTGGTAGGTTGCTGCCTGATTCCCATCAGCAAGTCCTGTTGTACCTCCAGTCTAATGTCTTTCAGAGTGGAGTACATGCAGGAGGAAATGTAAGCTCTTATTGATAATACTCATTCTTTCACAGCATAATCGAGTTTTGTTTTGTTTTGTTTGAGTTGGAGTCTTTGTTGACCAGGCTGGAATGCAGTGGTCTGCTCACGGCCACCGCAGCCTCGACCTGCTGGGCTCTGGAGATCCTTCCACCTCAGCCTTCCAAGTGGCTGGAACTATAGGCACGCGATACCATGCCCGGCTAATTTTTTTGTTTTATTGTAGAGATGAGGTCTAGCCAAGTTGCCTAGGCGGGTCTCGAACCCGCGGGCTCAGGCAATCCACACACCTCGGCCTCCCAAAGCGCTGGGATTACAGGCTGAGCCACCAAGCCCAGCCTAATTTTTTTGATTTATTGTAGAGATGAGGTCTTGCCAATGCCCTGCCTGGTCTTGAACCTCTGGACTCAGTCAGTCCTCTCACCTCTGCCTCCCAAAGTACTGGGATTGCAGGCGTGAGCCATCACTCCCAGCAGTGGAGTTAATACCAAGAAACCTACTACAGGTGAGAATGGAAAGAGACAATGAGAGAACCGTATCCTATGAAAGTGGTTCTCAAAAGGGAAGGGGAGGGACTGGGTGTGGTGTCTCAGCCTGTAATTCCAGCACTTTGGGAAGCCAAAGTGAGAGAATTGCCTGAGCCCGGGGGTTCAAAACCAACCTGGGCAACTTGGTGAGACCTCATCTCTGCAATAAACCGCAAAAACTAGCCGGGCATGGTGGCGAGTGTCTGTAGTTCCGTCTACTTGGAAGGCTGAGGTGGAAGGATGACCTAAGCCCAGCAGGTCCAGGTTACGGTGGCTGTGAGTGTGCCACCGCACTCCAGCCTAGGCAACAAGAGTGAGACTCCAACTCAAAAAAAAAGGTTGGGGAGCATGTGTTTTGAAATTTCAGTTGATGGCACTGCCCTCCCCCACCCTTAAGAACCACTGATCTAGGGATGGCTCCAAGGAGGAATTGTTTGATTACTAGTTGAACAGATAATTACAGTTGACAATAGGAAAGATAACAGTGCTGTAATTATGAGCTGCCCAAAGGCACATAAGCCCAAGTCAAGTTCAGAGACAAACACCTATGAATGAAATATGCCAGGTGCATGTATACATATCCTCTATCTACAGTCTGTATTGTAGTTCACAAAACACTTTCACCCTATACTGTAGAGCATGTTCACCGAACGGCTGACAGCTTAACAGCAAGTGACTGCATTGGTACTGGTTGCATGCTTGATTTTTGCTAAATGTGTGAGGTGGGCAGTCACTTTGATTCTTAGAGTCTCGGTGGTTCTAGTGCCAAGATCTTGGGATTCTTTTGTAATCTTGACGTTTAACTGATGTTTGCTATCAACAATAACGATGGCAAACATATCGAATGTTTCTCTGGGCCAGGCACTGTGCTCACCCCTTCAGGTGCATTATCTCATTCTCTGTAATGTAGGTTGTGCTCTAATCTAACAGTTGAGGAAACTGAGGCTAACATAAGATAAGAAATCTTTCCCAGGCCAAATAGCTGGAGGTTGGCGGTGCTGGCACTCAGACCTGCCAAATCTGCCTGTCTGAAGTGTCTGCTCTCAACCACCACCCCGCTCTGCTGTTACCACATCCAGTTGGCATCTGGTGAGAGTTGGAGTCTTTCCATTCAAATATTTATGAAGCACCTGTTGTGTGTCAGGCATTGTGCTGGGCACTAGAAAAATAGGGCATTGTCTGCCTCTGAGTTGCTTATAGCAACCTGAAGAAGAGAACCCAGTCAACTATTCTCAGTGCACTGTGGCAAGTGTTGTCCAGTGTCATTGGGGGATTTAAAGCAGGAAAATGGTGTTATTAGATCTGGGTTTTCAGAAGGTGATGCTGGAAACCAAATGGAAGCTGAATTGGAGACAAGCCAAGAGATGAGTTCTGTCGGGATAATTTGGGTGAGCAGTGATGGAGGCCTGAATGAATAAGGTGGGAGGATGCATCTGAGCATGCCTGGGAAGGTAGAGTCAGTCAGACTTGGAGATCAGGACGAGAGGATGAAGGCTGACTTGGCATTTCTGAATTAAGGTGACTCAACATGCCTATCACCAACATAGAGAATATGGTGGAAAGGAGTAAGTTTTAAAGATGATTTGGTTCTAGCCGGGTGCAGTGGCTCACACCTGTAATCCCAACACTTTGGGAGGCAGAGGTGAGAGGATTGCCTGAGTCCACAGGTTGGAGACCAGCCTGGATAACATGGAGAGACCACGTCTCTACAGTAAATCAAAAAAGTAGCCGGGCATGGTAGCACATGCCTGTAGTTCCAGCTACTAGGAAGGCTAAGGCGGAAGGATTGCTTGAACCCAGCAGGTCGAGGCTGTGGTGGCCGTGAGTGTGCCACTGCACTCCAGCCTGGAGGACAGAGTGAGTCTCTGACCCAAAAAAAGTAAAAAAGAGTTGGTTGTTCATGGAGTTGATTCCGAGCTGCCTGAAAATACCCTCATGGCTGGGTCCAGTCAGCAGCTGGATGTGCCAGACAAGCTTGGCAGAACAGAGGCATCTGGGGCTGGAACTGGCTTAGAGACAACAGTGTAGCAGGGTGGAAGCCTTGGACCAGTATGAGGCCTTTCAGGAAGGGAAGTTCACGAGTCGAAGTCTTGGGGATTGCCTATACTTACAAACTGCTGGAGGTCAAGGCCTAAGACAGCTACCAGATTGGTGAAAGGACAGCCAAAGGGACTCCAGGAAGGCAGTGACATTTCATGGAGAAAGTCAGTAAGGTAAGAACGAAGAAGGGGTCTGTCTGTAGCCCTAGCCTTAACAGTGTCTGGGGTGGGAGTTGGAAGGTGGAAGAAGCTCAATTGCAGTGGGTTGGAGAATAACTTGGAGGAGAGAAGTGGGTGTGGGTGGCCCCTGGCTCTGGAGGGGTGTGGGCAAGGGACAGTGCAGCAGCAGAGGCCAGAGGACACCAAGGGACGGAGCCAGTGATTCTCATGTGGGTGGGACAAGGCAGGTCAATGCTACAACAGATCCTGAAAGAGTAGGTGGATAAGGTCCTGAGCTTAGCCTCAGCCAGCAGTAGGGATACCTTGTCTCCTGGAACAGAGAGGAAAGGGTAAGGGCAGATAGGTAGGTTTCTGGGTGGTGGTGGTATAAAGGGATTAGCACCCAGGGACCTCGATTCTCATTAAATTGGAGGCAGACTGGTCTGCTGAGTATGAGGGGGAAGCTAACAGTCAGAAACTTGGCAAGAATAAAAATAGCCAGCCAGGCATGGTGGCACATGCCTGTGGCTCCAGCTCCTTGGAAGACTGAGGCAGAAGGATCCCCTGTGTCCCTGGTCAGCTCCCTCTTTCATTCTTCCAAGAGCCTTCTCCACTGTATATATCTATGTTATGTATGCATTTAAGTTGGAGTTTCACTCTGTCACCCAGGCTGGAGTGCAATGGCATGCTCACAGTCACCACAGCCTTCCAGGTAGCTGGAACCACAAGTGCATGGCTAAATTTTGTTATTTATTGTAGAGACAAGGTCTTGCCAAGTTGTCCAGGCTGGTTTTGAACCCCTGGGCTTAGGCAATCCTCTCGCCTCCGCCTCCCAAAATGCTGCGATTACAGGCATGAGCCACTGTGCCTGGCTCAAAAAATAATTATTTGAGCTCCAACTATGTACTGGACATTATTGTAGGTAAGCAAAGCCTACATAAACATAGCTTCTAGTGGAGGGTGATAAGTGACATGAAGGCAAGTAAGGGAGTAAGGCAAGTAGATCTGTACATAAGATTCTATATGGGCTGTTCAGAGAAGACCTCTCCACGGAGGTGACATTTGAGCAGAGACTTCAAAGAAATGAGAAAGCTCCAGGAATGGTGGCTCATGCCTCTAATCCCAGCACTTTGGGAGG